TTAAGAAATATTCTTTCAAAAATGTCAGTTTTATTTTATTTTTTATTTCTTAGGGTTTAAATTAAATTCTTGAGCAACATCCTGCCAGCAAACTAACATTTATGAGGGCAGAATCCCAAGTAAATCTGAATCATTCGGGTTATCTGCCGAGCATATTTACACAGTCCTGGAAAAACGATAAACCACCGTGACATAAGTCAAGTTTACTAACCTGTTAACAAAAAAACCGCAGGGAAATTTTTTATTTTATTTAAATTCGGCATTAAATTTTAATCATGCAGAAATATTTATGTTTGTTTTAGATTTAAAGTAGACCCAACCTCTTGGTCGTAATCTGATTAACCCTTTTAATTAGTATAGAAGTACAGACATAAGTTAGATCTTTTGGAGATTAATTAATTATAAATTTAAATTGAACCCAATGATAAAATCTGAAGGTATGCACTTAAATTATCTGAAATCTTAATTTATTACTTAAAAATAACATATCTTTTAAGAGGTAGATCATATTAAACTGTATACAGCTATAGCTATGTCTTTATATCGATTATGAGCAATTTTAAGTAAAGTTTATTAAAGATGAAGGAAAATATTAATAGTATATTATGTATCAAGTTTGATAAACGCCATTTTATACACGAATTTAATTTAGGCACGAGCGAGCTTGCGAGCGAGTTCTTAAATTAATGAGTGTATAGAAAAGTTTATAAACGAGGTGCATACTATACTTTTTCTACGACAAATACTTATTATTATCTTAAAACGATTTAAATATAAATTTGTATAGAGCGCCATCTATGAAACAACAGGGGAAACTGTCAATTGTCACATTTTTACATTTTATAAACACAATTTTAAAGGTTATAAATCGAAATTTATATTGAAAATTGACAGTTTTTCACAGTGAAAGTAAAGAAAATGTTTTATGAGGACTTTACAGTAGAGTCCGTGCCCGAATTTAAGTTATAGTTTACTGCCGGCGAAATTAAAAGGACAGTACAATGTTCATATAAACTTTTCAAATATTGGCGTTGAGAAACTATTTAATATAATAGATAAAAGATATAAAATAATTTTTAAATTTAGTATTATTTTACAAGAAAGGCACTTTATTTTAACGATTGTGACATTTGACAACTGTAACTTCAGCCCGTGACTAAAAACCTGGTGCTAACTTCAGCCTGTGACTAAAGCGCCGTAAACCACAACTTGTCAATGTGTATTTAAAAGGTCACTTAGTGTAATGGAAACATGTACGATAAAGGGCGTTTTAAGTTACGAGTTTAATTAAGCACGAGCGAAGCTTGCGAGCGAGTGTTTAATAAAAAATAGTGTCTGGAGAAGTTTATAAACGAGTTGCATACTATACTTTATCTACGACGAACACAAAACAGAATTTAAAGCCAATTTTATTTGTTAAAATTTTGACATCTGTCAACTGTCACCCGAATTTAACCTCAATTTTTCCCAATTTATCATAAAGCTAACTTCAGCCCGTGACGTAAAATGTCTATGTCACTATTGTTAACTTCAGCCCCAAGCAGCAATTTGTGCCCGAACTTGAGCACGACACTTTTTGTTTCCAAATTGTTTCGACACAAATCGGAAAACTTATGTCTAAATGGAAACTGTGACCATTCTTCAAATTTGTGGTTGCTTTGGGTCGACACCTTTTAAACCAATTGTGTACAAAAAAAGTATGGGTCTAAGTAGCATTATTTCAGAAATATGTGCCCAAGTTGAGTCGCTTTTGTGCCCTCTTAGAAACAGTAACACAATTTGGACTCATTAGGGTCGACACTTAGTCGACTCAATGTTTCCATATTGTACCTTATCAACCTGTTTCCATTTTATTACCAAATTGAGTCAAGTGGACGCAAAAGTTTCCATTTAGCTGCATTTTAGATTCATGGTGTCTGATTTGTTTCAAAAATGTATGGGGCGGGCGCATTAGGTTCCAAAGGGACACATTCGCCATATTTTTTTGTTGAAACAGATTCGACGCTTTAAGAAAAAATGGCAAATGTGAATTTTTTTTTACATAATTTAACTTTCTGGTGAAATTTAAACTTAAAATTTAAAAAATGCAATGTTTTAAGTTACATAGAAGGCACATACGTCTAGTTTTGATAAAAAATAAAAAAAAAATATTTTTAATCAAAAAAAAAATTATAAATACTTATTATTTGTGAGGCCCTATCAATTTTTAAAAGTATTTTGCTTATAACCACCAATAAAATTTTGTTCGCATTAAAAATGAAGGTAACATATACCAAAAATGTTAGATTTAAGTTATAATGTATTTCATAATATTATATTATATACATAATTATTAATAAGACATCACGCCTTACTTTGCCTCTTTGTATCTAGTTTGTTTCCAATTCGTTTCCAAATTAAAAATAGTTAGCGTCCATTTGGGTTTATTTTAGGACACAATACAGTACTTTGGCAACAATTCGGAACAAATGGTGACCATTTGGTAACATACAAATTAGAAACTCTTTGGGCATAAATCGGTCACACTACCGGGCACATTGTGGGCAAATTTTAAGAAAAAATCGGGCACATTTTGTGGGCAAACTATGGACACTTTTTGGTACAACTTTCATCACCACTTTGTTCTCATTTTCCACACTTAGTGGTCTTAAAGTGGACTTTGTGTCTTTAAAATGTGTCGTGTCCAAAATCATGTTTCGACGCTGTGTCGACACATTGCCCAAAATGTGTCATTCTTTGCTGCTTGGGGCCCGTCAATAAAACGCCATAAAGTTACAGTTCGTCTATGTAGGAGTAGATAAAATATTATTATTTATAAATAAGAAGTTTATAAGAATATTAAAAGAAGCTAAAACAAACTTCTTTTTTTCTACTCCCACCTTTGAAACACCGATTATCGTACATGTTTCCATGACACTAAGTGACCTTTTGTATAGACATTGACAGCTTTATGGCTTTTTAGTCATGGGCTGAAGTTAACAACAGGTTTTTAGTCACGGTCTGAAGACATTATCTTTACTGTCACTGTGAAAAACTGCTTCTATATCGGATTTAACCTTTGGTTAGTCTATTTCAGGGGATACATTTCGATTTACACATCAAAATTTGACATTTTTACCGGCGCGCCGGTAATACAGATTCCCAAGTTACTAACTTGAAGTTAGAATGGTTACTAAATTGTTTTATAGATATCGCTCTATAAAAATATTTAAATTAAATCATTTTAGATAATAATAAGTATTTGTCGTGAAAAAAGTATAGTATGCAACCCGTTTATAAAGTTTTATGGGCACTTATTTAAACACTCGCTGTTAAGCTCTCTGGTGCCTGATTAAAATTTGCGACTAAAATGGCGTTTATCAAACTTGATACATAATATAATATTTTGCTACGTAACATGACTGTATTAATGATTATTATTATTATGTTAAATAAAAATTTTGATTTTTAAAATAGTTTTATTTTGACATGTGTGTCATTTACAATTTGTTGCATTTGCAACGGATGTAAAAATCCGTTGCTATAAGTCTAATGTACATTGTGGTGAAGGCTCATATTATAGCCAAGCATACATTTCACCGAGGCGCTAGCCAAGGCAGTATATCATATCATAAGCTTTCGCTGACGTGTTTTCTATCCCACTTTTTTTAGGCATTTAAAAGATTTTAACATAATTTTTAGGTTAGGTTTAACTGACATACTGACATTTTAGCTACATTTGTACAAAGGTTTATAAGGATTATTTTTCATTTACTATTAAAGAATACATTATTTTAAAACATCTTTAAAATTGCATGTTGTGTATTACGAAATTGTAGTGCCGAATAGACTTTATATAAGCTTAATAAAACATCCTTATCTCTAATATTAAAATTGAAAATTATAGTTGAATAAATCCACGAACCAAAATAATCAAGCTTATCTTTAAGAAAAAAGATCTATCTATTAAAATAAATTAAATTTAAAATTGATTTACCTACACCAAAGCATCGGAGTGTGATTTGAATTAAAATTTTTAATCTGATGAGATATTTATACCAATTAAAAATTATTGTACATGTAACCTATTCGGTCGTGTAAACTTTACGATTATTTAAAAAGATAACAACACCTCGATATTTTTTCGTATTTAGCGGGTGGTACTGCATTAAATACTTAATTGGTAATGAATCAAAGATGGTAATCTCGAAAAGTATGGGTTACATAATAAAGAACACTTAATTGTAAACGTCGGAATTTTTTCTGTCTTCTAAGAGTAATTGCAGTATCCTTTTAGTTCAGCAAAACCAATTAGCATTGAAGTCGGTAACCGAACCAATCAGATAATCCGGTGACAGGATTATTGAGAAGCTGCAAGTTTAACGCTTGTCGTTATCGAACTGACTGGAGCACGTCTTAATAGGCAGTACACTTTATCACTTCTATTGTTTAAATCGTTGACCATTATGTGCCGCAGTTTTCTTTGGATATTCGATACATTTATTGTCTTACTGATGTTACTGAATGGCATGTTTACTGTTTAAAGTAATTGGATAACTTGCAAAAATGTAATGTATTTGTTTTTTTCTTGTCAAGGCAAATATGTATTTAGTTATTTAATAATTATCTAAATTATTACAGGGATAAATTCAACAATAATGATCGCAATACACTATTTTTATAAAATATTTTTAAATAACATAAGACAACAAATTTGTTGTGTTTTACGTATCGACAAACTTTCCAAAACCAAAATTACGGTGATATCACATGCAAAATAACTTTATCTTCAAGCATTCTATAATTTAAATTTTATTATTGTCAAAACTCACCACTAAAGTAATTAATTATCCCTACCCAAGTAGCATTTTTAGTGGATTTATTGGTTTCAAGGGCAGTTTCTTCTGTTTCCTTAGCTTTAGCTAGTTTGCTGGCGAACTCATTTATCGTTTTATCCAAAGCTTAGCCCATTTCTCTCAAACTAACTACAACCTCTTGAATTTGTACCAATTGTCCGTTTACTAAAGGCCTGCAGCTTCTTTTTTGGCTTCTTTATCTTGCGTTTTAATGTCTTTAGTTTTATTGTTTGTTTCTTTAATAAGTGAATCAATTTTATCAATGGCGTTTTCTTTAACGGTGATTTCAGTTTCTAGAACAGTACCTTTTAAGTCAGTAGTTTTTTCCTCGATATCTTTCTGGACCCCATCAATTGCATGACGCACTGCAGAAACAATGTTGCTTAATAATCCATCAGCCTTTTCTTTTGCCTCCTCAATTGTTTCCTTTTTTTGCTTTCAACTATATCGACCACAGATTCTTTCAGGTCGGAAGCAATTTTATCAGATTCTTGATCTACAATTTCTTGTACACCAGAATATTTAATTTCCAATTTCTTTTTATTCTCTTCGATTTCATCTTTGATTTCTCTACCAAGTGCTCTTCGTCTTTGGGTTTATTGTCTTCTAAGGAATCCTTAGTTTCGGAAAGTTTATCATCTACTTTCTCATCAACTGACTTAGTAGTATCAGTTGAGCTAACAATCTCATTATTTTCATCGTCCAAGAGGTCTTTTAATTTCAACCCTGCTGGGCCTTCTTTAATGTTGGTTTTTAAGTTTGTGTATAATTATACTTGGAACTTAAAATTGTATTGCCAAAATCTCTGGTACGTGATAAAAATGGTTCTATTACGTATAAGTTACTAAAATTGGGGAACACTGTTTTATAATAATATTAAATCTTTATTTCCCAATAGATTTATAATCCAATTACAGGAAAATATAATAGAGTCATTTCTATAACATTCAATAAAACAAAAAGTAAACAAATAATTAATTCGAGTAGCAATAAAATAAAATGAATAAAAAAGAAAAAAAGAAATTTAGATATTAACCAAATACATTAAATTGCACATTCTTTAGCACATTTTAAACTTAGCGGATCTAAAAATTATTTATCCAGAGGCCTCAATAATTTCGTGTTAAAAAATGTCCTTGTATGGTTTCCACAAAAAGATACTTCTCAGCCTAATGATATAAATAACTACTATACATAATTTTTTTTTACTTTAACAGCAAAATATGTTACATCGAAAAAAAATTCTCTTCAAGTTTCAGCCCTTAATTCTATTTTCTACTTTACATTTGATTTAAAAGTTTTTCGATTTAAGTAACATCGAAAAATTGTTTTTCAATTTCCTATAACTTGTCGGCAAATTACATAGGTGCGATTTGTTGATTATGCTCTTTAATCTTCCCTTGCAACAATTTTACTTTAACTCGTATTCGTTACCAAAATATTATTAAAAAACAGTATGTTTTTGATTTTACGGTAAAACTCAGAAGTATGATTAACTTAATCATAATCATAATCAGATTAAGGGCTTAAACTTAATGGGAATTTTATCCCGATATTTATAAATATTTACCTATCGGTATACATAATATTTGTGGAAGTGAAACAATTTTTGTTTAACACAAATCACATAATATACGCATAAAGTAAACGGTTTTATAACCTTAAAAAGTAGTTTTTTTAAATTTAAACCTAGGGAAACACCAGAAAAAAATCTATCTAAAATCTAAATAATTTTCAGTCTAAAATGTTTTCTATTAATTTCTACTATAGTTATAATAATTAAAATAATAATAAAGCAATAAGTTTCATTTTGGTATCAGGTAAATTAGAAATTTATCTCCTTGTGTAAGGTCTAAATTAAATCTTTTTTTAGTAAATATGAAGGTATTAAAAAGAGGGATTTGTGGTGCGTTGTTAAATCTAAAATTTATAATGCAATTTGTATTTACAAGTAATCCATTTAGCAAAATGTACCTACATAATTAAATTTAACAGAAATTGATTAATTATTTTAAACCAAACACGGGATAGACTGTTTAATAATCATTAATTTTAAATATCCTTACTATTAATATTCCGTTCAGATAAAGGGCATGACATTTTGCGGTTTATACATCTAAAGTTTGTAAAAAAATAGGATTTCAATAACAAATAATAAAAAAATGACAAAAAGTTTTATTAATACGATTATTCGGAGGATTACACATATGTTAATTTTTTATGGTCAATAAATATTCAGATTAAATAATTATTTTAACGTAACAAAGAATAAATTCTAAATTATTATGGATTGGATCTGATCATAAATAAAATTTGTTTTGGTACGTTTCATACCTACCTTTCTAGAACTTAGTTGTATATTATTTTTATTGCCAGGCAATAGAAACCCCTGGTTAATAAAGTTATAAAAATAAAGTTTATGTATTGTATTATTTGTTCACTTTATTTAAAAGAAATTGTATCTGCTTTTCTATTTATTTCTTCACATCTATGACTTTCTGGATACGATTGAAATTTTCAAGCCTTAGATATAATGTCAAAAAATTGTATTCTTCTTTAAATCTGAAATAAACTAAAATCCAAAGTAGCCTTTTTTTAGTGTAACCTAAAATAATTTAAAGGTTGTAAAGTTGTAAATTCAATTTCATTAGAATGGCTTCGGGCGTTTATTTTGAAGATTTGGAACATTAATTTTATCGTAAACTTTTATACTCAGTACGTGTTAATTGTAAAATAAAAATAAATATGTGAGTGTAAAAGACACTATAAAATACCGCCTATAACAGAAAACTTTTTTGTTTTTTTTAGTATAGCTTATAAGTTATTGTTAAATCCGGAAAAAAGAAGACTTATATTATATTTTATATTATTTAATATTATATTTTCCAAAATGCGGTGTTTTCAAATTCTACCTTTATAAATTATCAGCCAGTTTACATGCACAAATGGGTTTTTTTAACCAATCATGCCTCTAAATTGTTTAGAAGTAACCTTAAAGGAGTAAAGCGCGGAATAGAACTGCATTTAAATTGCTGCTGAAAAGATCTGACTTTTATTTAATTTGCATTATGTATTTTAAGGAAACTAATGAATTATGTGTAAACGGAATAATTTATATTATTTACATAGGCACTATAATAATAAAAATATTTATATGGTATATAATTAAGTTGTAAAGTTTGACTTTTATTTAAATATCTTTGAGCGTTAATTTATTCAAGTTTGTTTACCATTCTTATACAAATTTAATAATATAAAAGGCTTTTTTTGGTGTAATTACCATGCTATAAAAATTATTATAACTTAATTTGTATGCTTGGTATATCGACAATAGAAATTATTGTATAGAGTTAATATTTAACAAACATATACAAATTATATAATTTATAATAAACAGTTATTAAAAATGATTCTCGAACAAATTTTTGAAAATAAACTTTCACAATAAAACATTATAAAAATGTACGCCCACATGTTTTGTCGATTTAATTTAAAATTGAATTTATTTATGTATGGCTGGAATATTAAATTTACCTTTCATATTTTTTATTGGTCTTTTCATATAATATTATTTTTAAATTAATATTGCACGCATTGTTATATTAATTAATTTAGTCAATGCGTATTTGGTTTTAATAAATTAAATATTTTTATTCAACACAAAAAGAAGTTTTTTCTTATTTGTACTAATCAAACCCTAACTTTTGCCTCCGTTGTGCAAAAAAAAATCTTTGGTCCCACATCCACTTGTAATTGAGAGATTTTACTCTTAAAGTAAGCTATTGGTTAATCTAACAATAAAAATATTGTTCTACTAATAAAACAATGAAAAAAAGAAAAAGAAAAAAAAAAGAAAAAGAAAAAAAAAATAAAAAGAAAAAGAAAAATAAAAAGAAAAAGAAAAAGAAAAAGGAAACAATAATGGTAAACAATAAATTACAGCTACTTTTGCATAGTGATGATACATTCTTAAATATGATTTTAAACATTGTTTACATATTAAATTTTAGAACACAATTTAAGTACCTTAAAAGAAATAAAGAAATAATTTAATTAGGAAAAAGTGAGGTTAATTTCTTTTGACAGATGTTGGGTAGTATACGACAGGTAACTGTAATGATGTTGGTATTAGCTCGTTTGTAATTGATTAGCTGTTTGGTATTATTGAAGTTAATTGATATATTATATATTGATTTACTTATTTGATTTTGGGACAAAATAATATGTGCAACTAGTGAAGAATGGTCGATTATAAACTCGCATTTCTGCTACGCTCTCTTCAGAATCAACCATTTTTTCCACTAGCTGCACAATATAATATTTCTTACATTCTTCCTTTTGTTAAAATTTAAAATTATATTATATTATAAATTATTATATATATATAGATATGCAATCCTACATTACCAAGCCCGAAACGTTACATTCTACAGTATAAACGAAGCCCACTCGGTTTTTACGAAGCCCGAAATCGGGCTTCCTAAAATTAGCGTGTATAAATTTGTTTTAGAGTTAAGTGATGCCCCCTTGTTTCAATGGCGAAAAAGTGGTGGGCTTCCTAATGCCATTCAAACCTATCAAAATATACACCCTTAGTTCCAATGCTTTGGCGGTAGGGGGCACACGAGTCAAACGAGATTATATACAGCTTTGTATAAGTATTACGCAGTATACGAAGCCCGTACATCTGGCAACAATGGGGACTATACGCTCGATGACTTTTTGATAGGAAGGCGGGGAAAATGATGCGGGATTCTTAAATTTGTATCTACTGGTTTTCAAAACAAATATTATACCTATTCCCAAAATTATGTTTTGTTCACTACATGGCGTGTATTAAAAGGCAATGTTTTGTTAAATACTTTCGTAATACACTTAATTTTAAAGAAATATTTATTTTTGAAATATTATTTGGAGTGCATTTTCCTTTGGGGCGGTTTTACAAGTTGTCCAGATATTTTACATAGTTTTAATTGGGGAAACAAGGGGATTTGTATATATTATTATTATTATTATTATTATTATTATTCAATGTTACATTTAAATAATTTAAATAAAAATAATTTTTAATTTATTTGAAACATTTCCAATTTTAATAAATATCATTTTAATGTAACATTGAACTGCAAAAACTGCTTTTTGACAGATAGCTTCTCATGGCAATTTGTCAATTAACATTCACAACTGGTCAATTTATTTATACATGGCAAACAACGACCAAACGACCAAATAACAATAAGAAATTGGGTTCTTTATTTGGATAGTGCTTATCTAAAAGGAACCAAAAACTTGTTCGGAGCTTAACAAACTTATTTGTATATACCTAACTCATTTTTAATGCTGCTTAAAAACTTAATTATAATTTGAAAGTCCTCTCAATAATTTAAAAGAAGTTCTAAATAATGAGAAACTTTTTGAGCATTATTAAAAATGAGTTATTTTACAAAAAATGTTGTTAAGTCCAAAAATAGTTTATGGCGCTTGGTTCCTTTTAGATTAGGATTGTCCATTTATACTTACCATTACAATATTATTTTATCAACCGTTTTGGTTAAAGTAATATTTTATCTACGATTTTTATTGGATAAAAGGCAGCTTAACTTTATAATGTAGCTATAAAACAATATTTGGTTTGTAATACATTTTTCTTGTTTATAGGATGCTAAACTAAATAGCAATTTTCCCCACTTCTTTTTTTTATTTTTCAACTTTTAATTTGGTTTAGTTTTTCTAAATTTTCCCAACATTTATTAAAATGGATATAGCCGGTTTTCCACGGATGCTCCTCAACTATGGTCTAGGTCTTTTAAATCAAATTTGCCTATAATTATAAATTTAGACAATATTTTTAAATAATGACTTATAATTCATTCAATAATATAATAGTTTTTATTAAAATAATTATAAATCACACTATTTTTAAATACACTGCCCTACAAAATTATTGCATAATAAATAAAAAGAATTAACTCTAAAACGCCTTTACTAATCTTTATAAAATTTTGGATAAAAATACTTCAACATATCTCAATTTACGTGTTCAAGGGTTTTTCGAGAAAATATGTTTAAAAATTTAATAATGAAAATAAGTTCAAAAAATCACTTCTAGGGAATTCTTTTAAATAAATAAAAAATATGCTCTTAAAGAGCGTATTTTTTTAGTATACCCTGAAAATTTTGTACAAATCAAGCGAACAGTAACGAAGATACAGCGCTTCAAAGTCGTGAAAAATGACCACTTTTCAGCAAAATAATCAAAAAGGCGTCATTTTTACCGACTTTGAAGCGCTGTATCTTCGTTAATGTTCGTTTGATTTGTGCAAAATTTTCAGGGTGTACTAAAAAAATACGCTCTTTAACAGCAAATTTTTTATTTATTTAAAAAAATTCCCTAAAAGTTATATTTCGAACATTTTTTCATTATTAAATAAAAAGGCTTTAAACATATTTTCTCGAAAAACCCTCTAACACGTAAATTGAGATATAAGTTGAAGTATTTTTATAAAAAAATTCATAAAGATTGGTAAAGGCGTTTTAGAGTTAATTTTTTTATATTTATTATGCGATAATTTTGTCGGGCAGTATACGTCATTATTTAGATTTTTTAGAATTTTTGGTGTATTTAAATCTAATAATTTAAAAAAAACTAGATGTCTTTATAATTCATGAAAAAAATATTCAGTCAGTTTCCCTTGTTTTGATTCCCATTTAAGTTTTACACAAAATTACCTAACGTCAACAATAATTCTTATAATAATTATAATTATTGATATATTTGTATATTTTTTATTAACATATGGAAATATATTTTTAAAGGCTTAACTTTTAAACAAAAACGAATCGCATCCATGTCATTTAAGAAAAAATGTTTATAATTAACCCAGCTATCATCTGACAAAGTTTGCCATAGAGCTTGTAGAGCACCCTGTATAAGATATTTAAACCTTTTCAAAATTATGATGTATAAACAAAATAAATGAAATGTTTATACCTATAGGTACCTAAATTCAACAATACTTTTAAATTATTATAATATAAATAATTATAATTTAACGATAATTATTATTATAATAATTATAATTCAACAATATTATTAAATA